TCAAAGTTGAGCAAAGAGGTCTTGGGGCCCATCCAATTACACACACTTGGATGATTAGTGAGGATGGACCAACGGGGAGAGGAAATGAAGGCCATTGCTGCTTCCCAGGCAAATGCCAGGGACAAGCATGAAGCAGCTTCCATACCTCCAACAAAGAGTCCTCCATGATAAAAATGCATCTGGGCCACTAGGAATTGGCATTACACCCCTACCAAGCTTTGGGGGGCATCCTAGGAAGGTAATAAAGACAGTAGATATATGATGTTTACCCATGAGTTTCTTAACTGGCCCTTGAAATTGAGACTCTCTATTTTCAGGAAAGAAAGCACCACCCCACTTTGCTTCATCCCAGATCTTCTGAACCCTATCAACTCGGGATTCCCAGAATGCTCTAGCTGAACACTTCTCGATAGAGAATCGGGGAGCCCCGCCCATATCTGATCTCCCTGGCTTCTTTTGTCTGACAACCCAACAGCTGTCATGATATAAAAATGGAATTGGCATGCCCTTTCTCATTGCATCTGCCCAGGAAATTTGTATTTATCCTTAGAGATTCAGCCCTGGGGCCCCTTCCTCTGAAATGTGTTCCACTGCTGGGCAGAGTTATGCACTCTCCTTTCAGTCCCATGCTGACTTTTGCTTACATATTATTTGTGTTTCAACCCTTTGTTGACTGATCCAGCTCGTTCTTCTACCCTGCGGTTCTTTGACAGCATGAAGTGTGTCTTCTTCACTATTGTAGCCTCATGGCGCAGAATAAAGTAGGAGCTCGGGAAGTATCCAACACATCAATCTATTAAGAAATAGAAATCACTGCCTAGCTCCCTCACTCTACAAGCAGTGAAATGATCCAGCATTTGTAGGGGTTACTTGTGAGACTCAGGAGCTGTATGAATGCTCAGCATCATGGATGGGGAGAGCTGAACAAGCAGGATGGGAAGAAAGTTAAGTTTTCAGTCCCATGCTTTAAACTCTCCCAAATGCCACAGGATCACAGGAGCAGGGGGAAAAGATGTCACCACACCTCTGGGGTGGGGGGTGGAAATAGCCAAGCACTACTCATTTTTGCATGGTGGGTCTTTGTTAGACTTCCAGCTGGGAAAATGACAGGTAGCACAATGCCAACCAATTGGCACAATTCATCCTCCTAATTCCACAACTTATTTTCTGCACTATTATGGGAACTACTGCCTCCACGTCTATCTCCCTGGCTTTAGAGAGCGTGGTCAAGTTTGGGAGAAGACAAGGCTGAGGTGTCTCCATATTCCAAAATGACTTCCCTCTCTCAGGTGTGCTTTGGTAAATGGCTCTGACCACTGCTGCAAGCCCCAGAAAACTTACCTGGTCAGGTGCAGCCAAGGCTTCAATGCAGCCAAAGGCTTCTCCCCGATCTCTTGCTTTGTTGACCCTCCTGGCGATTATCTCTGTGGACCAGACCACCCAGTGGTCTAGGTGGGCCCAAGTACTGGTCTCTCTCTCTCTCTCTGTCTCTCTCTCTCTCTCTTTCAATTCTGCTGATTCCTATGCACCCAGGGCTGAGAGCCACTTTTTAGAGCAATAAACTAACTGGCTATTTCCCTTTTCTATTCTAATCCTCCTAGTGGTAAATCCAACAAATTGCCACCTTGAGCCCTCTGCATCACTCAGACACACCAGAAATATGGCTTTTCAGCAACTTGTTAGGCCCTCTGCCTCCTGCTCCATTCCTGAGGCTTTGCACCCATCCAATCTTGAGGAGATCTGTGCACCTGTGGTCCTGGAATCAGTGTCTCCTTGTTTAGTAGATCGTGTGGAGACAGTACAAGAATGTCACTCTTCATTTCTTTATTTATTCCTTTATTCAACAGGCATGTACTGAGTACGCATTATGGATCAGACATGATGCTAAGCATGAGGGAGGCAATGATCAGGAATACTGAAGGGCGGAATCTATGAAAAAGTTAGCTTATATTACTGGCACCTGGTGAGAAGCCCTATGCCCAGCTCTGTTTTCTTCCTTTTCTCCCACGCATCATCTAATGCTAACTTCCAGCCATTCTCTAAGACTGAGGCTGGCCACATGTATCTTTTTGCATAAATAGTGCCACCCATCATTTGTTGTTCTTCTCAATGTTTGATATCATCTCTCCTTATCCATGAATGATTAAGCACTAAAACTCATTCACTCAGAGTTGTTGAGGCTCAATTTTTTATCCCCCAAATAGATTTCCTTCTTATAGATACTTTGGTTCTGTTGCCATATTCTAATTTTATTTTTAACTACATAGTTTGAGGATAAATGCTTCCATGCCATGCTCAGACAAAGGGCATTAATTAATCCATCTCCTCCTCCATTTAAGACTTCCTCAACTAAGGACCATGAGCCAGAGATCTTGTCAATAACCCTGGTCCTATATGCCAGCACTAATAAACATCCCTTCTATCCTAGGATGTTCCCCAAACATGCAAGTATATGTGAAAATACATTGCCAGATTGGGCTAAATGAAAGGCATAAAACAATATGATTTTTCCATCACAGATGTGAAATATGATATCGATTCCCAGGAAAATTGCTGCCAAGGAGTGGCTTAGCAGCTGATAATAGTACATCTACCATTTAATAATTTTGAGTTTCAAATTTTAATTTTTACTTTTACATTTTCCAGATGAAATTAAATAACTATGTGGACAAGGGGGAACTTCCCACACATAATCAGGTTCAAGCTTTGTTGAATGTGAACAGTTCAAAGTCTCTAGAGCTCCTGTCCCAGCCGATGAGAGCAGGGACCCAACTGGAAGACATCAGACTTTCCTAGAGATTAATTAGACTTTTTTTAAAAAAGAAAAAGAATCAGGAGAAAGAAGGATCTACAAAGACTTTCAACGTGAAAAATACTGGTAGAGCAATCATTTCAGAGACATGCAGAAATCAGAGAAGGACATGAAGAAGTATATCCAAAAAGATATGAGCCACGCATGGCAAGTTCTGAGATCAGGAGACAGAAAGCAACGTGATGTTGTAAGATCAGTTTCTTCTGTGTAACCCGAATCCTGGTAGCATTTCTCTTGTGCCCTAGGAGTGAGTGATTTTTTTTTTTTAATGACTATTTTCAACTTGAATTTGTCATGAGGATAGGTGGACATAATAAAGTGAGTATTGCAAGCAGCATTTGGAGAAGTAAAATAAAACAGGTTCTACCACCATGCTAAGTAGAAGTCAAAGCCTACTTCCGCTATTCCTGGCTGTATGTGACCTTGGCCCAACTGCTTAACAGTTCTGGGTCTCAGTCCACTTATCTGTAAATTGGGGCCCACCTCACAGGATTTTGTGAGGATTAAACAAGAGTACATATTCAGTAAAGGTTATCTTCCTTTTCTCTTCTTATGTTATTTTTGGAATAGACAATTATCAGAAAAAGAGCAACATATTTGATCAGAAGGACTAGTGTGTGAGCTAAAAAAAAAAAAAAACTAAAGCATTTTAAAAAATTAGAAAATGTTATGTACTGCACTTTAGGATCTTGGGAATTGTTCAAAGATGAACTTACTTGCTTTTAGATCATCTGGCCAAAGGAACTTTCTATGATGATGGCAACGTTCTACAGCAACACTGCCCAATGCTTCTGGCCCCATGTGGCTAATGCACACTTGAGATGTGGCTCCAGACACTGGGGAACTAACTTTGTAATTTTATTTGCTTTTAATTGCTTTAAATTTAAATAGGCATACATGGCTAGTGGCTTCGGAATTGGACAGCACCCATATAGATCTTCCCTACTGCAAGATTTTCTCACACCATTCCTGAATGGAGGATGCAGAAGAACATGAGTTTAAGCACGTAGGCTCTGGAAGCAGACTGCCTGGGTTCAAACCCCAGCTCTGCCACTGAGTGATCTCATGCAAGCCCCTGTGCCCCAGTTTTACATTTCTGTAAAAGCAATGCTAATGACATCACCTGCCTCATACGGAAAGTTGGCAGGAATAAATGATGTAATACAAGTAAGAGCTTCAAAGGGTATTATGGTCATTTCCCTGAAAATAACAGTCCTCATACTTCTTCATGGAGACTGTGCACTTGCTTCTCTGCCTTCCACAGCAGGTTAGAAACCCTGCTATTACCCCAGTGCCAGCCACCATGCCTGGTGCATTTAGACCATTAAATAAGTGAGAGAAGAGGCCGGGCATGGTGGCTCACGCCTGTAATCCTAGCACTCTGGGAGGCCGAGGCAGGCGGATCGCTCAAGGTCAGGAGTTCCAAACCAGCCTGAGCAAGAGCGAGACCCTGTCTCTACTAAAAATAGAAAGAAATTACTTGGACAGCTAAATATATATAGAAAAAATTAGCCTGCCATGGTGGTGCATGCCTGTAGTCCCAGCTACACAGGAGACTGAGGCAGGAGGATTGCTTGATCCCAGGAGTTTGAGGTTGCTGTGAGCTAGGCTGATGCCATGGCACTCTACCCTGGGTAAAGAGTGAGACACTGTCTCAAACAAAACACACAAAAAAAAACAAAACAAAAAAAAACAGTGTGAGAAGAAGGGAGGGAGGGAGAAAAGAGAAGGAGGGACGGAGGAAGGAAGAATGAATGAAGTAGGCAATACTTCATGCAGAGTACAGTAAGCTGCTAACGTAAAATGAAACTTGAACTTTAAATTTAATAAGTCAGTAGCGATGAGTGTTAGAGATGAAGGTGGAGCCTGGTGTTCTGGAACAAGCACACTTCCAAGTGACAGTGAGGGGGGTTGGTAGCTCAGAGAGCACCAGAGAGGAAGGGAGGTAGGCCGGAGGAGTTTTCTAGATTCCACACTTACAAAAACATAAACTTCAATCCTTAAAGGTGTGTTTAACCAAATTTCTTCAAGTGAATACAATAGTGGGTCATGTGACCTTATTCGTCCGTGGTACATCCTAATCCAAAACGTTCCATTCGAAGTGAAGTACATGTTTTGTTGGGCTCCCCACTGCCAAGTTTTTATTTATACTGCATTCACCAGTTCCCCAAAAACAGCAGTGTTGGGCAAGTTTTCATAACTGTTTTTATTTATTATAAATAGTAAATATTTACTGCACTTTTTACATGAAAGACATTTTTACAACACATCGTTGTTGGTTGAGGCTGCAACACAAAGATAGTATTTCTCTTGTTCCATCACCCTCTAAGACCAATGTATGAACTAAACTCGGTACTATGGCTAGTCGCACTAACTCTCTACATCATAGTTCTTAACTCTAAAAGGAATGTATTTGTGCCTACCTCATTCACGGTTCCAAGAATAGAAAGAAATAAATAACACTGCCTTCCACCTTCCTGTTCCTCTTAACATTGCAAAAAAAAAAAAAAAAAAACAGATTTATTGACATTCTAAAATGTCACCACACAAATGTTTGTAAACCTCAGTTCCTATTACCTTTTAATATTGGATATCATTGTATAATTTAAAAGTACATGAGAGCTACATGAACAGTTCTGTTCGTGCCCTGCCTTTCATAGAAAAGAGAAGAATGTAAACGTAATCATTTTAAAAGCATTATTCTCTGACATGGTGTCTAACCAAAAGGAGCAAGCCAGGTGTTGGTTGTCCAGCAAATGGTGAACATCGCTGCACTCTACCACAATGAATTACGGGCTGCAAAAATAAAAGCACCTGCAAAAATATATTTCTGATTTTGCTGATATTGCGCCTTGGGCATTGCCAAAGCACCATGAGGTATACGGTACTGCACACTGATAAGCAGATATGTGAATGCGTGTCACCTCCTCTCCACCACACCCTTCCCCTCGCCCACGGGGGCTTCCAAATGAAGATGAATTGGGAGAAAGTCGCACACCTCTTCCCACACCGAAAACAAAACAAGCTTTTCTTCCTCTTAGCCCCATATCCTGTTAGCAAGATGTTTCTGGGAAACTTATGGACAACTAGATTACAAAGGAGGATAGGATAACAAATAATTTATTTGGGAGGTCCTTTACATCTAGTTTAGTTTCCTAACAATGGTGGCATTTATTTTTATATCAATTTCCAGTGTGTAAAAGTGAAGGGTTCCTCCATTCCTGCTTCATGGAGTGAGCAGTTTTAAAGTTGTAGAAGTGCCAGCATTGGACATCAAACATGGTATACTTTAGAGTATTCTCCTACTGTATTTTAGAACATTCTGCTTGCCCAAACCAGTCTGGGAAAAACTCAGATACAAGCGTGCGCGCGCGCGCACACACACACACACACACACACACACTAATGGAATGTTTTAGTTTCTTGATCATCAGCACTGAAGAGCTGGGATATTTTGATATATAGCCATGTTAAACCATTGCCTTAAGACGTTGCATTTGTCTTTTATTGCTCCGGGTTTTCCTCTTCTTCATTGCTTTTGTCCAACAAGTTCAAATGAATTGGAAACCAACTACTGGAGAAAAAAAATCAATCACTCTCTTTTGTCTCCTGTCAGGACCCCCTCCCCCCACAAAAAAAAAGGGTAAATTTTTTTTCTGAGAAGATTCTTCATGTCTAGGCTGCGAACACCAGAAACAGGGCCAGTTTTAGCTTCAAGTGGACAATTCTCTTATGCGATATCTGGCTTGAGATAATGAAAGGCACCTGGAAGGAAACACACGCAGCTTTTTAGGTCGTGCTGGGACAATTCACAGTAAGGGGCAATATCAGCTACAGGCTGACAATGTCATATTTAATACCATGGTATCAAAGGATTGAAACTAATATTTTTATTCCTGAGACAAGTTTGACACAACTCTGTGTCCCTGGGATTATATCCCATATGATCCTTGAGCTGACCTCATTAAGAACATGTGTTTCTAATGTTAGGGATTATTTCATTTTGGCCAACCTTTGTGTTTTACCTACTGGCAATCAGGTTTCACGTCTCAGCAATTAATAACCACAAGATGTTGTTGACATCAGTTAAGAAAATGATTATACAAGGGAGCCCTTGCTGGAACAATCAGCTGGCTTTGCCACAAAATGGACACTGGGGTGTAAGGCGTAATCATGCGTCTAACTTTCCTTTCTTAAGCCCGAGTTGAGTTTCTCTCTCTTTCAGGAGTGATTACACCCTAGAAAGTCCAAGGCTTACTTTGTCCATACTGCCCGTATTGGTAGCCTGTGACAGGGTCCATACTGTAGCCCGTGGTGCTATAGGTGGGTGGACAATAGGACTGAGACGTTGGCAGACTGTCCAAGCTCTTCATGTGGTCTAGTCTCTGACTGCAGCTGGCCGACACCGTGGTGGCAGGTTCCAGGCCCCCGGTGAGAGGGGAGAGCGCGTAGTCAGTCTGGGGCTGATGAGGCACCCCACCGTGGTTGGTCAGGAGTCCCATTACCTAGAATAAACAGGCAGGTGGGGAAGCAGTTAAAACGCAGAGAGGACCAGATCACAGCCCATAGCTCAAAGAATCTCTCCCTAGTCCAGTCTTTTTTATTGCTTTGGAAATTTGCTCAAGAGCTGTCCAGAAGATTAGACCCTCGATTCAAAGTGACAGAGATATTACATCATGCCTGGTGATAGCATCTGACTGCAGTTCAGCAAAAGAAAAGAGGGAAGGAAAAGGAAAAGAAGGCAAGAGGGGAGGAAGGAGACATTGAGATAATGCCATGTCCCTGGTGATAAAATCAGGCTGGAATTTCAAAGAAAGGACAGAAGGAGGAAAAAGTCATCATATATGTTCATATAGAAAAAAAATTTCTCATCCTTTATTATATCTGGAAGTTTCGCTTGTGATTTTAAAAAGGCATTTGCTTATTTTTAATAAATAAAAAAGTTAAATGAATCCAAATCAAGGGTTGTTGGGTTTTTTTTATGTATTTTGAGATCTCTGTGTCTTTTTTCATGGTGTTCTTCTCAAGAAAACTCCTCTCCTTACCTTGGCCATCCTTTGGTAATTAGAAATAATTCCTGTCTCCCTGATGCTCTCTTGTGCTTTACTCATCCCATGTTCATTAGTTCGGCCACCTAATGTGACCAGTGAGAGCTTTGAGAGGAAAAACCTCCTCATCTTCACATCCCAGCACTTAGAACAGTGCCCAGCACATCCTAGGCACCGAATGAATGACTGTAAATGATTCTCCAAGTAACCACCTCCATCACTTATCCTTTTATTTCTTCTCTAACCCAACATTTCATAGACAAGAAGTGTTAAGAGGAAAAACAAGCCTGAAATGCAAACATGTTCTAAAAAATTCAGTTTTGTAAATAACCCTGGAGAGCAAGACACTAAAAAAAAAAAAAACCCTGTGATAACAGAACAACTTTCAGATCAGCATGGCAAAGTGTTTCACAAACTCAAGCTCATTGACCCTTTACGACACCTTGTGAGGGAAGTAAGTGGATAATTAATTTTGCAGCTGGAAAACTGCCACACGAGAGAGGACATGATTTTTCGCAACGCCGTACAATTCCGTGGCAGGGCTCAAAAGCAGCTGTGGAAGAAATCTACTGCTGGGTGAAGAGCACCCAAAAAACACACCTGCTTACAAATTATTGAAATGCAGGATCCCACAATTGCACAACATATCCATACTAGTCCTGTTTTAATTTAGGAAGTTGGAAGCCTTATGGGGGTTAAAGTGTAGAAACAAGAACAAGAAGGGAGGGCAGAAATGAAAACCAAGCCCTGACTCTAAGCCATCCTGCTAACCACAAAGCAACCTTACTCAAAGGTAATTCAGGCAACAGAATCTTGGATGTAGGAGTTCCAGGAGGGCAGGCGTCAGGCTCAGGCAGGGAGCTCTAGTTTTGCATCCCAGAAAGCATTCCAACTCAGATTCTGAAAACAAGGATCCCATAATTCCCTTTGGGAAGGGTTTGCATAATCCTGATAGCTAAACAAAATCTTCTTGAACGAAAGCTTCAAACTGATCCATTTTCAATTAGCCCCAAAAGACAAGGAGAGAGAGAGAAAGAGAATCTATTTACCACCTATGGTCACTAGAGAGAGTTCTCTAGGGCCCTACCCAACACTGTTGATAGTATGTTAATCTCTTCATTTCCTCATTTTAAAAACTTGAGCATCACCAAGGATGCATTTAAATTATCTCCTGGATGTTTTTCCATCTACCTAAATTCTTTGTTTTTTGCCTTTCTTTAAGCTTATGTAGATGACTTTTATAGTTTATACTGGAAAAATTCATAAACATCAACTGATATACTAATTTATTAAATATGTCATTTCAGTCCAAATTAGGCATGTCTATTAAAAGAAGAAAGTCTTTAAAGTAGAGGTTGTTCAGTGCCAAACACACTCTTTTTCAAATCAGGAGCACATTTTCGTGTGCTAAGCTGATGAGTAAGAATGAACAGGGAAAATAAAAATACAAAAAATGTAATTTTTTTAAAATAAAAGAGGATAATAACACAGGGCAAATCTTTTATCATAAATAAGTTGTGTTAAGCAAAAACCAAGAATTTAGAAAAAGCCGTTTGGTGACTGTTTCAGTCCAGAGAGGAAAGATATCCAGTGGTACTGAATAGGAAGGACACATATTTTAAACCAACAGTGTCCTTCACGAAGATACTTACTTGAAACTCAGTTAATGGTATGTCACTTTAAGGGAGAAATGGAATACTCTATATACAGTTATAGTTAAGCTCAGAGCAGAATTTTATTCAAAACATGCACAGTCTCCCATGAGTTCTATGTACATTTTTGTGATAAACTTCTTTTTAATCCCCTGCCATACATTTCTTGTTTGCATAACTTTGAAGACAGCAGTAACTTCGTTTATGGGGGGGTAGGGGTTGGTGGGACCACGAAGATCCTAAAAGAGAAGAAACAAGCCATTGCTATACGCAAAAACCAGCTTACGATGTTGTTCGTGGAGCAACTTTTTGGAGTTGCTGCATTAGAAAATTCTTTAGGACAGGATTTAACTCTAAGACCTTGAAATATATCTGTTGAAGGATGGAGAAGATCACTGTCTACAGGGCCATAGTGGAGGGCAATAGAAAGATAGCTCCTCCAGGGTCAGGGCAGAGTGCCTTAAAGACATCACAGAATATGACCCAATAGGAAGCATGCCTTCTGGGTCTTCCTGTGTCAGTATTGTCACATACAGGAGGCTATTGTCACATACAAGGACACCTACTTTAGCAGTAGCTCTCAGTTCAGAAGCCAATACCTGCAGTGGCTGATGTAAGGGAATGAAGGGGACCTGAGACCCCATCTTTGGTCCCTTTGACTTCCCTGACAGAGCCCACAAGACCGACATTCTCTCACAGGTTCTTATTTCCACTATGAGAGTCACAGTGTTACAATCATATCTCAAGAATTTTATAAGGCTGGGGAATGAGGCACTCATTTCTTCCTATATTTGATTTGAAATTGAGATTAATAAATAACTATAATGTGATTTATTTCAATATTTCCACATTGAGGAAACTTGGGAAATATGCCCCATTTTCATAACCTGTCATTTAAAAATTAAAAAAGGAAATCTGTGTTAGGGGGGAAAAGTGAATATATCAATAGAAAATGCATTACTTTCCCCTAACACAATTTAAAACCTCAAAACTCAACGGAAGGGTCCCATTACACTTTTATGTATGTTTCTTTAAAAGCTATTTTGTGTTTCATGTGGTTGACAGAAAGCTCTGGAAATTTCTTTTTATGCATAAAGACGCTGGTAAATGAACTTCTTAGAACTCCCCCAGTATGGTTATGGAATGTCTTCTAGTCAGATTTTCTCTTTAAGAATATTTTCAGAATTTCTTTTATAATGCTTTTCCTACAGCAATTTGTAATTGAAAGACTAAAATAAAAACTTCCTTTATAGTGAAGTGGACTTTTCTTTCCTCATTTTAAACCATTAGCAAGCTATTTCTGCCACGGGGCTGGCATTTTTTGCCTAATTTTTTTTATAATTTGGGATGGGAGGGAATCTCAATTGCCTGGTTTTCACAAACAATTTCAAAGAAAAAGAAACAAATTCAAGGCTACCCAAGTTCTATCCCCTGAACACTGGTCACATTCTTATTAAATGCCAGGTAAATCCAGGAAATGCAATGACCAAAAATAGTTTTCCCTTAATAATGATATCTGTTCTGTCCCATTAGAAAAGGAAGTAAGTGGAACTCCTTCTTTTTATTTCTAGATGGGGGTGTGGGGGGGCACATCTAAAAAAAGTCTTTTTAGCAGATTTCTTAATCGAAACCTCCAAAATGTTTCCCAGACATCATTTCTAAATTATTCCATGGACAACCTTTAAAAACAAATTCTAATCCTCAGAATCTTGTGCCCACACTTTTCCTGCCGGTTCCTCTGTCTTTTGCATTATCAGAGACATTTTCTGAAGATCTCTTTAACTCATTCTCAAGTTTCAGAATTCCAAATAGGTTGTTTATATTTTGATTGGAAGATTTTATGGTTCAGGAAAAACTAACTCTTTACAATTACTTCATGCCGTATTTCTCTTGAATTAATTTTCCTATTGTAAGATTAAACATAAAAGATAAAAACTATGGACCAAATTAAGATTTACATTTAAAATGATGTGTCTGGAAAATATTTGTCTTGGCACAAGAGTTATGGTTTTGCCGCCAGTTGAAAGTGCTTAAAGCTTATCAGAAATCTAAAATGATTTAGCAAATTATGGTTTACATCTAGGTGCCTCTATTTTCCTTAGTAGGAATCCTGGTTCATGTCTTTCTTGCTCTTAAAAAATCAGATGTTCTTCTGATTTAACATTTAATAATACATATTTAGTTGCTTTTTAAAAAAAATCATTGTGAATTACAGCCTTGTATGATATCAAGAGCTTTTTTTAGCCTCATATCTTTCCTTCCAAAAGTCTACTGACTACATATTTTTTTATTTTGATATAATGTATGTTCAGAACCAAACAGAAATATTCAAATGTTTATCTAAATGTTTTTGGCTAATATGGGTGTTACTGGAGTCATCTGATTGCTACATTTCAGTGATTGTATCTCTGAAACTGAAAAAAAAACCCTAAATTCAAACAGCAGAGACTTTCTGGAAATGTCTTCAGATTCAAATGCCTTAGGAATTATCCTGCAGTTGATTAGCATCTAAATAATTAGATTTTTGGTCCTGTCTGTTTGAAAGCTGTAAGAGGGAAGTTGCCTAAAGGCAGAAGTTTCTCTTAAGGTATGAATGGTGACCTTCTCACCCATCCTGAGAGTTATAGAAAAGGCATGGCTGACCTTTACCTAACCAGATAGAAAACCTGTGCACATAAAATGCCCAGCTAAGTAGGTCCTTATTTTTTATTGTAAATCCGTAGCTCACGTTTTACTAGTGGCTATGTTTAATGCATGATGAAAAAAGATGAAGAGTGCCAGACAAGTGGGGTTCATATGCGGCAC